ATTGGATGGCGCTTAGCAGCTGGCAATCTATCTCGTATGGACGAAGACATGTCCACAGACTGTTGCGTGGGATCCAGTCATAGGTTTTTTTTCGAAATCAGCAGAACACATGTATGTCGGAAGAGCGTACCTCCACGATTCCTCCACAATCTAGTACAGGGAAAATGTACCGCCAAGAGTGCTTGGCTCGAGCCGGAAGCAACAATGCTCTTGTGTCTTGGAATAAATTACTCTACGGCACGTTCTTTCTAGCTCCTTTGCTTAAACGTTACCTGCCCCATATTTGGAGCACTCCTTGGGGTGTCCCTTTTTGAATACGGGTAGAATAACTCCCGTTCTCCATCCGCTGGTTTCTTCCCCATAATCATGCCAGTTTCACCTTCATATGCCAGCAAGTATATGTCTTGTTCGCCTAATGCATTGAGCATTTCTGTGATGATTTTATCAATTCTTGAAGCCTTTCCATTTTCCAAGCGTTTCACATTTTTTATCTTGTGTAGTTTCCCCAGCAGAGGTAACAATAGCCGTTCTGTGCACTCCCTCAATGGGTCAGATTCACTGGTCTTTACCAACAATGTCTAATTCTTGATTCTTGCCGCTACTCAGCAGATGTGAATTCCAATCAACATGAGACGACACCTAGAAACGCTCTTTGAGGATAATTCTTCATTGAAAAAGAGGAACCTATAAAATTAAGAGGAAAGACTATTGGCCAACAGCTCCCGAAACTCGTGGCATTTCTATGCAAATTATGAAATTTAATCTTTTCATCGTCGCTGGTTCATTTTGTGCTCTTTCTACATAATACCTAGAGACAGGCTGAAGGCTCTGTCATTGTTTCATATAAAACGGCTTGCAATGAGACTGTGAATCAAATATCCAGTTATCCTCTTATCAGCGCTTTACAATTATGCAGTGCTTTGCCTGAAGTTCTTAGAGATGCTGACAACCATCACATTTAATAAATGCACTATTCGATACTGCCGTTCCTCCTTCCGATTAATGGAGTGTACAATGGATGAGGTTCTCACATTCAGCTAAGCCATTTATGCATATGCATAAGCGAAAGTTCTCAACGTCTTCCTGGTTGCTCATCTTTTTTTGGAGTTAGGTCATGACACCATAAATGCATCATCTCTCTGGTGCGACAAAAGTGGCAAGAGTGCTTTGGGGTTCACGATCATCTTTGATGCTGACTGATCTAATGACAGAAACAGATAGCTTCAAACTGCAGAGAGACTGTAATCAGCTCTCTGCCTTTGCCCTTCTCTAAAGTTTGATCCGCATCATCCTGTAGTTGTAAATATCAGTTCAGTTTCAGTGTCACAAGTGGCCCTTTTTTCTTCTGATCCAAACGACGATGTTACTATTTACGTGCCAGAGTCTTTCACACTCCAGATTTAGTCCTCATACTTCAAAACTTAACACGCTGAACTTCGTGCCAGCAATCGTCAGTTGTAATACAACAATTAGTTCTGTTGAAAGTGCCTCGCGGAAACCTCGATCATTCAGCGTGGCATTGCTCGACACGCTAATGGTTGCCTCCAGTCAATTAGTTCTTGTTAAATGCGCACTTCTCAATGACAGCCACGTTCATCTGACAACTCCATATATGAAATCCTTTCAGCACATCTTCGTCCAAGATTAGCAGCATGGCACACGCGTCTCATTTGAAACTGATACCAGTGGTGCTGTATGAACTTGAGAGCCATGCCTCAGTACAATAGACTTATAGTCAACTGTCTACGTTATGAACACTTTTTAACCATCTCCAATCAGCATATATAGAAAAATAACGCATTCATCGTGCCAAAATATTTCTGGCCTTCACAAGATGTCAGAAGCTGCGCGAACATAATCCTCTTAGCCAGAGTGGCTGCTATTTCAGCTTCTATGATCACTAGCGTGACCTGCTCCAAGGACGCCGTGGATGGCTGCTCTCTACCCTCGAAGATCACGTGGAATGTCAATTACGAATTTCAATCAGTGTTTCATCCACGGCCAGTACCCTTGCATTGTCGATCCAGAGAGGTCCTCAACGTCAGATCCGAAGTGTTCCCCTTGGCCATAACTTTTCCGTTCCTATTCCAGTGCCATCGAGAGTTCAGGTTGGCGTTCCGTGAAATGGATCTGACGTGACGTAGTGGTTGCTTCAGCACGTATCCCAGCCAAGGCAGTCTTTGTTGATTCAGGGAACAGAATAACATGTCTTTGGGTGCCTGATCAGCACGCATTGCGTGTGCGAAATGTTTTGCAATCATAATCGTTGAGGGATTATAGTTTCCTCACGTACTCGACTCTGAGGATGTAGCTCTTGCATCCATGAGCTAACATCGAGCGAATGGAGGCCTGCAAAACTTTGACACTTTGTCTTCAGACCAGTCTTCTATCCCTTCGACCGCAGTCTCCAGAACTGTAGGAAGGCCTTAATCTCTGCTGCTGTCTGAGACGTAGTTCAAAATTCGAACTGTCCGTCGGTGACAACAGAGTAGCCTAGAAAATTGATGATGGTGACTTCCACCGGGTTCACAGGTAATCGTAATAGTTGTTTCGTATCTCATGGCGGTTTGAGAAATTCTCTATCTTGTAGCATCTCGTTCTTGTCGTCATGATCCCATTGCTACAGAGCATTTGCTTCAATCAATCATAATTGTCAGCAGTGAAATCTTCATCAGTATTACGATTAAAACTCCATATTCTAAAAACAAAGGCTTCCGCTTCGCGGACTCCAATATTGAACAATTACAACCTATTTGAACTTACGTTAATAAATGCGGATACTAATTATTGACAAACTATGCCATCATACAGTCATCACGATATCCAACCTGATTTTGAATTCTGAAGCCCATGCAACGGGAAA